TAAGAAGTGATCATATAGAAAAGCCCTCGGTTTGCAGGATACTAAATGAATCACTGGATTTTCAAAGTGGGCATTATAAAATGAGTTTACTAGTAGGTAACCAGAAACTAAATGACTTCTAACTACTGGAAAACCACCAGAAGCCTCTCAAAAGAGAAAACTCACAATTTCAATGAATCCTTTTACTTTGCCAAGTATTTCCATTATAGCAATCTAAATTGATGTAGCAGTCCTATATCCTCAATTAATTTCTAACTTTTCAACAAATTATCAGTTAACGTTTTCAATACATTATTTGGTTTCTTCATTCCTGTGATACATAGATACGTTTCTAGGTTTTCTTTCTTTCCAGCGCAAGTTAAGATTAAAAAAAAAAAGACATAATGAATATGATATTCTGTTGGAATTAATCCATGGTCAATTCCATTTTGTAAAGGAACTTGTTCCAGACTAAAAATGCCAATTCCCTAAATGAGTTAGACTCATTTATATTAGAACTCAGAAATTCTCTAGCTTGGATATGGAATACAATTTGATGCTAAAAATTTGATGTTAAGTTCTCACATACACAATGTAGTTCGCTGATACATGGAACACAGGCTCTTTATAACAAATACCCTGAAGATCTTTAATTGGTAGTTAGTAAACATGCTTTTTCTAATCATCAAGTCTCTTAAATATTATGTTTTTAAATATGCATTTAGGGAAACTAATGAGGTAAAACATGAGAGGGATAAAGAAGGTAGGTTGTTTTCAAAATTAAAATTTTCAGGACATCCGTCCAGCAGGCATAAAACAACATAAAACAAATAACTAGATAATCAAACAATAAAAGCAAACTAGAAATAATATGAAAGCTTTTTTAAAAACTGTTATTGCACATATGCAATAATTACTTCCATCAAGACTTTTATTGTACATTTGTTTTTATGGAATCATAACGTACAAGTGCATGCTATTGTTTAAACACATTCACCACATACCCCATAACAGAATATGATGACAATATGTATTAAAGATAATACAGAAAATGTAGCTAAATGCATTCTGTATTATGGTTCCATATTACAGCATGCAAATGGTTCTGACTAAGCAGACACAGGAGACAGTCGTTAGTGTGCACGCTGTGAATGTATATTATGAATAATGCATAAAACTTGGCTAAACCCTAATGAGCCCATTGACATCTATGGGGTCCAAAGGAGGCTCAGATCCCGAAGCATGGCCCTGTCCATTTCTCCCCACTAATCATTATAAAAAACAATACCATGAAAACAAAGGATATTCAACTACTTGAATATATTCTCATTCCAGGTAAAGGTTTTGAAATAAGCAGAAACTTTGAAAAGAGAGCTAAAAGTCCATCTTACATCATCAGCCCACTTGCAGTTTTTGAAAATTATCCACTGCAATTCAAATGGGACAAAAGCTGCAGTTGAGGGTTTCATGTTATTTCTCGTCTCTGGTTTTCTTCAGGGAGCTGCTATTACAAGGAAGATCTCAGCAATCCCTCAGAAAAGTCGCCAAACTCTTAGACCATAGCAGTAGAAACTCCTCCTGCTTTGAAAGACTAACGTTTACAAAATGAATTATAGTCAATTAAATAGGGAAGTAGATATAATATGTCTAAATACATTCTTTAAGAAACTGCTTAAAATTCTGGTTTTTACACAGCTTTTTAAGGAATCAAAAGAATGTCAGGAGTACATTACTTACAGCACGTTTTTTTTTAAAAATCAATGTTTTTTCCAATAGCCATTAACTAGAGACTCTTAAACCTGAGTCCTTGAAAAGAGAAAGCATAACATCTATTATCCCGACATGGGTGTACCCCAAGATGAACACCTATATGGGGATGTTTAACGTGTTCACTGAGCCAAAATGCAGAGCTGGGCAAGCTGTGCTTGAGATGCACAAATTAAGTATGTGATAGAAGCCTGTGCACCCAAAGCCTCTCCTAGGAGTGGGGCTGGGAAAGCAAGGACAGCTGCTGCTTCATGGTGCTCCCAGGGGCGGGTGGGAAATGGGCATTCTGAGAACACATCCCCAGAGTCCAGAGAGGAGGCAAGGGCTGGCCGCTTGGGGAAGCAGCAAGCCAAGAAAAACCCTGCTCTCTCAGAAAACATGCAAGAGCAAAATGTCAAAGTGAGAGCTGGAGTGAAAATTCTGGGATGGAGTTGTTGTCAGTTTGCCCAGCTCCATGAGGTTTTCCCATCCCTTTACCAGGTACAACAACCAGACCCAGCCAAGGCAAAGGCCCAAACTGGAAGCTGCCATGGAGCCCAAGGCATGAAAATGCATAACCACCTCCATCACTGAATTCTAAAACGCAGGTCATTTACCAGCCCATATTTGGGCTAAAATCGGCTCTCAGCTTAGCATTACTGGGAATTTAGCCTATGTGCTGGGAATAGAGGGCTCACTGGAAGACCCCTCCTGCAAAATAATACTGTCATCATTTTCCCGTCCCTCCTCACCCACAGAGGCAGAAATACTCACTTTAAACATTGATGAAAAACAACCCTTTATAAGTTTCTATTTAAAGTACAAATACTCCTGGGTATAGTTTAGAAAAATCATGATAAACTTGTTTGTTTTTAATTTGCTTTCTGTTGTGAGAAGAACTAGGACAATAGAGGATGTCTTAGTATGTTTGGGGTAGTCACAAGTGATTTGAAAAGGGGGTAAAAGGTTAGAGAAGACAGGACACACTGCTGACAGATTAACTTTGCTTGCTTTTCCAATTGCACTAGCACAGCCAGAGATTTTGTGATGAGGAATTAAGAGTCTTAGCAGACTCTTAAGGTTGAAAACTTTCTGGGCACTATATCATTATTTTGGTATTTACAGCTGGATAAGCGCAGCCACTGCTGCTAGAGCATGAAGTATGAAAATCAGACAGAAAAATAAGGTATTTGTTGTAACCGCTTCTGCTGTTTTCCTGGTTCTAAAATTTGCCTCATATCAAGTGCAATAGAACAAAGTTCAGTTCCTGATAGAACCATTCCATAAAGCGATTCTTCCTCTGAAAACCATTCTCTACCACGGCTGGTCCCAGCTCCACGATAAGCAGCTGACAATTGCTTCCCCTCCCCACACACACCCTGTGTTCCTTCACCCCTCCCAGATGCCACCAAAAGAATCACAGAAAGTCTCTCAGTGGCACTTTGCTTCTCAGCAGGAAGCTGTACTGTTTGTGATATCCATTTTGATTCAAACCTAAATTAGGCCTCTGGAAATAGGTAATGCACAAAAAGAAGCATTTTGTGTCACCAAATTATTATTATAGGTTACTGTTAACCCTTGGAAGATAGAGGTGAGCTCCGTAGCTCCCCACTGAGGTGACTATTTGTCATGAAATCATAGGCCCTACCTCAAAAGATGTTTCAGGTGAGCCTGCGATAAGGCAAACTGTCTAGTTGACCTATAGGATTCTGATAGCTAGTTTAAGTGGGAAAGCTAAGAGAAATGCCAGTTAAACAAAAGGATCAGCACAGCATGGGGAACCAGCAGTGCGCTAGCACAAGTTTAACAGCTGACAGCACCTAGAGAGAGATGTCGGGATCAAGGCATTTTACTATCAGACCGATTTAAGACCCTTCCCTTCAAAAGCGCTCCTTGCAAAGACTTGTAGGGTTTTGCAGGGCAAAAGTTCAGAGCAACACACATTTTTTAAAAAGAGGTCATTTGTGATCAAACTATCAACGAGTCCTCTTGAAATAATGAATTCGACTACGGAATATGCTGATGCTTCTACTTTTTCATACAGCCTAGCTAGTCAATACATTTTACTTTTGAAAAGCCCTGCTCGAAAAGTTAAATGTCTGGCCCTAATTAAGATTCAGAGAAGTCTCAGAACTCACCCTAAGAGTATGCCTGCATTACAGTCCCAGCACCAGTCCTTGAAAACCTCTGTCGTTTTTACTTTTTCTAATTTAAGCTTTGTAATACATGATTCTCCCATATTCTTCATCACTACATTAAAAAAAAAAGCAGTCTTTGTATGTTATTTATCAACACAGCTGATTAAAGCATTCAAGTCAGAGACAACTTTCTATTCACCTATACCTGGGAAGAAAACACGCAGAAGATGCATGTCATCTTCTTGTCTTTCAGCACAACTCAGGTCCCTTGCTGATTGAAAACTGTAGAAGAGACAGTCATCATGCCATACAATAATAGCTTGGCTTTCCATTCTTCCGTGTGCATTTTTATTCTGTTTTGGTAAAAAAATTATCACGTGTTCCCAGCTTATCTCATTAAAATAAATAGACATGACTGAATTCATAGCTCTGGAGACACAGTAAACACAATGCAAAATATAATTCCTCAAATTGGAATAACTGATCTTTATTGAATAAATAACTAAATAAATAAAGCTTCTTCAAAGTGAGTATCATAGGTTGATGATGAAAAGCTACTGGTAACATGGAAAAATAAAACAGCTAATAAGAACAACCAAAGTTTTACAGGGAGTTTAGCAGACTCTGGATCCTAGCCAAATTTCATAGCAGCCCAGAGTTTTTAGCTGAGTCCCAAAAATGTGAAGGCAGAGTCAATGCTCCTCTTGTATTTCCTAGACACAACTCATAAAATGATAGGTTCTTTTTAATGTCTAAGAATCTTATTTAGTTCTCATTCTGCTAAGCAACATAATCTTCAGACTGAGAAAATGCCTGTCCAATCCCATCAACTGCAGTATGTAACATTTTAACATCAAAAGTCCTGGAACCACACACCCCAGGGTCAGGCCAGCAGACTTTCCCAATGCAATCTCATTCAAGGAATCGTGACTAGCTAATGACTTAGTTTGCTTAGGTTATCTAGATATTACCTGAATGCCAGCTACTGAGAATAAATTTCCTGTGTTTCCATGTTCTAAAATAATTCCTCCATTCAAGTACTCAACAGCATTTCGTCTAGTCACAGCTAAAGCACCTCCTGTTGACAAGGCATTTTCTCAAAAGTTTCTGCAGACTATTTGTCCACACTGTACATACCTGTTCAGTCCATTCCCTGGGAAGTTGCTTTTGCCACAGCTTCCTCCTTAAAAATATTCCTACACCCATGCTGGTTTTGTATCTGTTCAGTTCAAATTTAGATTCATTGGTACATTTCCACAGTTACATTTCTTGTTCGATTGATGTTTCCTTTTATTTATTCTGAAGTTTTCGACGTAAGACAAACAGGAATACTACCTTCTAAAATTACTACTATCCTACCATCCTCCGATGGAACATTAACGGGAAGCAATATTCTCCAAAGCTATGAAGCATACACTGCCCTAAATTACATTGCAGTTGCTGCCCTGAGCTCACACATTTTTGAATAGAAAGGCTCCCAGGGATCTCTCTGTACTGACTGCATTTACTGCTTTAAAATATTTTTAACCCAGACGCTGAAGTGCCAGCCTTGCAGTTCCTCATGCTAATCCCAGCTTGGGTGGCTGTTCTGAAGGGAAAGCATTCAAAACATTGTAACAGTGCATCAACTTTGACCCTTTTCGCTTACACATGAGACTCTTAAAAAAAGTTTGAATTCCAGAGGGAATCACTGAACTTTGACATGCTTAAAATTAGTTTTGTTTTACTGCCTTCATGGTGACTCAACAGGCCAATTTTCCAGACACTTAAGACTTTTCTGCCCCTTAAGATTTCAGTTCAAGTCCACAGCTATGCTTGCCGGTCAGATCAGAACACTTTGTCCCAGGGTTTCAAGCAACAAATTCCCAGATCTCCATCTCTCTGCCAGATGTTGGCATTACTTGGTATTAAGCTGGATCTAAACACACACACACACACACACACACACACACACTATACACACTAAGAAGACAGGCTGTAATATTTTTTCTTCCACTTGGAGCCTTTTAAGAAACCAAGTTTTCCACTCAAAATTCAGTCATGGGGAAATGTTTATCAGGATTATGTAAACATTACTTACTGGCCTAACTCCTGCACACTAAAACTCTTAACTGTTTTGATTAGCAGTACTATGACATCTTTAAAATATGGTCTTTCTAAATCTATGTGTATCAGTGGGGGAAAAGCATGCTGGGATTTTATTTTCTAATCTGAAACAGATTTTAGAAATTGTTAATGAAAGATTACCATATCACAAATGAACAATATCACATTGTTTTATTTTCTCTCAAGAGAATTTCAAATATGGTGTTTGTTGTCAATTCATGGAAATTTATAAGTAACATCAATTTACCAAAAACCTAAAGGTATAGTGCATGTTCAGTTTGATTTAGTCCCTCAAAATTGATGCCACCCCTTTAAGAAAACAAAACTTTACAAAATCAAATTAGCCAATTTCATTAATATAAGCCAACATGTTAAAAAGAACAAAGTACCTGTAAGTTTGGAACAAGTGCCACATAAACCCTGTGCATTAAAATTTTTAGAAAAGTCAGATACACGCATTCTGATAAGAAAAAAAGGGTAGAATGAAGCCAGAAAATAAAGAAATTTTAACACAGGTAGTAAACCAGGATAAAATAATTACCATAACACAGATTAGCGTATATAAATCACATACCATGTTAAACAAGAAGTCTTTACTGGCTCCAAATGTTGAGTTACCTATATTGAAAGGTGATGTTACAAAGCGTGTTCCAGAGCTTCATGTTCAAACGCTGGCTTACACTTAAATCTATCAACTTTCAAAAAGCTACTAAAATACAGACATTTGATCCCTACTGTACATTAAAGCTGGAAGTCAGACATTACAAAGATGGTACAGAAACTGACCACAGCAAAATTATCTTTTTAATTGTCTGCTCTCCTTAATACTCAGAAAAGAAAAACTACTCACCTAAGTCTCTCTGACAAACATTTATTTCATTTCCTACATATTTAAGAAGAAACACAACAAAGATGTTCAAAGTGGGAGGAAATGGCAAACTTCTGGCTATGTATATTAACTTAGTCCTACTTCAATTACATTTTACCCATAAGTCATTCAACACATAAACACTGAATGACCACAGTGTTCTTAAATTAAGAAAACATTTGGAATTCATTCCAGTTATTTTACATTTCAAGCACATGTAACCACATGGGTTCTTTACTGATGGCTAAGAAAACAATTTAAAAACTACTAATAGTTTTGAAAACTGGATCAATTATTTACATGAAGAGGTGAACTGAAATGTAAATTCCAAGTGCTGCCAACCTACTAGTGCCTTCAAATGACATAAAAATTAATATGAATCATGTAAGATGCTGATGAATGCACATACTTATAGGTCAGACAGTCAATGGCAGTATTTAAATAAAATTATACAGAGATGTTCCCATGTAAGGACCTTATCTGAAGAATCTGCCAACATAAGATTAGTAGTGTAGTTGCTTAATCCTTTAATTGTTTTAATAATAAAGTATACTGCTAATTATGTAAGGCTTTTGGCCTTGCATTCCAAAAGATGTATTCACATTTTCTTTGTATACGTTGTAAAAATTAACGTACACTTAAAAAGATAATGTGACTTTTTTAAACAAATACACCTTGCCACCTAAGTTCAAATGTATTTTACGGTGTTCACGGTCACCTCAGAACACTACTCATTTAAAGATCAGCCATTATTCACAGTATTTTGAAACTGTTTTCTAAGTCTGTGCACACACAGGCAGGCATACACACTTCTAAATATCCTCAATGGTGACAAACTTCATAATTTGAAAGTCAATTTTAGCCATTTTCATCATTTCAGAGAGACATTTATAGCCAATTCTGGTGAATAAAAAAAAGATGATGAATCTTGGTATAAAATGCGATTAGAGAGTAATGAGATGGATGTTTTAGTCAGGCTTGCAAATAATTCAAAAGACAATTTTGAGAGAGGAAGTTTTTCCAAAATGTTTTGAACAATGGCATCATTGGAAAAGGGGTTTTGTTTCTCTGGGTGACAATTTTGAAAACAACATTAATATGAATGCATAAATTATGGTGCAATCGTTGTTTTCAAAAATCAAACTCTGTACTTTTCAATCATATCCTGCAAATATTAAATAGAGAAAATCTACATTTTTCCTTTAGATGACTATGTATGTGTATGCTGAAGCTTCCATTGGGTAAAACTAGCCATAAGTTGATTTGCAAAATATTATACATAATATAAACTTAACCATTTTAATCTTTCAAAAAAGATGGCATGCAATTTTTTCAAAACCTTATTTTCGTTGTCAGGTATTTACAACAAGCCCCAATCTGTAGGCTTCTATAAACTTTTTTCTCCTATTAACAGTAAAAATCTGGCAAGAGCTCACTGTGGGATTATGCACAAAAGCTGCAAATTTAAACAAGGTGCGATCTTACACTTTTTCACACATTATTGTATCGTGCTGCACCAGAACACTAAGGTATGCACAGTTCCAAAATAGCTTGGGTTATTACTGCACAGCCTTGAGAACTACTAATGTCCTGATGAGAGCACCTTTCCAAAGCTGCTTCTTTAATATTACACTCTGGTAAAAGGTTGCTTTCATTATTTGTATTTTGCAATGAAAAAAAAATGAAGAAGTGTCCATGACATTGCATCACAATTCTGAGGCTTTAATTTTTAGTAGACCTTCATAGTTACAAAAGTTGTTTCATCAATATGACTATGACAATGGGACTCAATACTATTTAATCGACTCAATTATGGAACAAGTGTGCTTTTTTCCTTAGCTGCCCTACTTTCCTTTAAGTCGCATTTGAATTATTGATGAAATTGCAATAAAGCATTTCTTTGTTACACATAGTTTAGAAGTAAAGAAGGATGTTTCATGGTTAATTTTTAGCCTCACAAGAATAAAATAAACACACGTGTTGTCCTTTCAAAGAAAGTCAATAGCATGGTACAAGCTTAAAAGAATGACTTTTCTTTTTTTTCCCCCTATTGTTTTGAGAACATAATGTGCTGAAACAGTGAACATAAATACAAATGTAAAAGGAGAAAAGGGTGAAAGAGTAGAGTATAGAAAAGTCTGTTCCAGGTCTTCCTGGGTGATAAAAAGATTTAAACTATGATAAATTTAGGCACTGCTTTACCTCTAGTATTTCAAAGACCCATTTAGTCACATAGCAGGCCACGAAAAACAGCACAATGAGTAATTTTCAGAATAAGGACATTTCTTATTTAGGCTACTCTGATCACTACCTGATGTCCCTTCATTCCTTTTTCCAAACGACAGCCAGAATAATCTTTATAAATCACAATTCTGAATATTTTCATTACTTTCCAATGCTTTTCTGATTAAAAACCCAAAGGCTTAAGAGTACCAACAAGAGTCTACGTGATATGACTGCTGCCTCCTCCAACCTCATCCTTCACAGCCTTGGCCCTTCTTTTCTGTGTTCTGCCCACACCGCTCTCCTGGTCCCTTAACAGTCCAAGCTTTAGCCCGTTGCAGAGATTTGTACATGCTGTTCCCCAATCCCTACTCACCCAGACCTTCTCCACCTAGTTGGCCTTTCATGCTTTTCATACCGTACCCCAAATGGCTCGTCCTCATGAAAGCCTTATGGGACTTCCAGAATAAATCCAGCTACTCTATAGCTCCTTATAACTGTCTGTACTTTTCTTCCATAATACACTCGATAGCACTTATCACTATACATATTTATAGTACAACGTTCTTAGCCAACCTACATTCCCCAAGTCGCCAGAGAAACTAACGTGCTCCATTTCTTCTGCAAAGCATACAATAGGCCTACGTGGCACCCTAATGGCAAAAAGGCTCCTCTACTAACCCACACAATCCTGCTCTCACCACTTTGTCTGTTTATGTCATTTGTTATTATAATCATATAAATTTATTAAATATGACATAATTAGGGAAATATAAGAGCCAAAATGAATGTTTTATTGACACCAAATTGCAGGCTTTGGAAAGAATAAAGGCAAACTGTTTATAAAAACCACCATATTAGGTGTCAACTTCATAACACTGGGATAAAAACTTTTTAAAACTAGCAAATTCTGCACTTAGATTGCTTGCTAAATGCCTTTAGGCTCTCCGGCCATTTTTAATAAATCAAACTAAGAACTGTTCAATATGTATTAAGGGCGTGGCTTAGCCAAGAAGATAATAAGAGTCATTACTCAGGAGACCCATACTTAAGTCTGAGTTCCACACCAATTACTTGCCAAATTGGTAAACATCGATGAACAATAAAACACTGATAAATTAATAAAACACAAAAGTTACAAATAATAAAATGTTTAATGCAAATACCATTTCTTTAAGATTCTATGTGCTCAAGATTTTTAAAAGAATCCAGCTACCAGTCGTAATAATACTGGAGGACAGAGCATCTCTCTAGGCTATTGGTATGGTCAGCTGACTCACCTCAATCTTCCTCACTAGACTGGCAGCTCCATAATGGCAGGAACCAAATCTCTTCTGCTTACCATTGTAACCCCCTTACTCAATTCATACGTGACCAAAAATGGACTTTCAATAAAAAATGTTTTAATGAGTGAATAAGAAGTTAAGATTAATCAAATACAACATTGTTTATTTTAAATTACTATGAAGATCAACATGTGGCTGGTCATGGTGGCTCACATCTATAATCCCAGCACTTTTGGAGGCCAAGGCAGGAGGATCATTTGAGGTCAGGAGTTCCAGACCAGCCCAGCCAACATGGTGAAACTCCATCTCTACCACAAAATACAAAAGTTACCCAGGCATAGTGGCATGTGTATGTGGACTAAACTACTCAGGAGGCTGAGGTGGGAGAATCACTTGAACCTAGGAAGCAGAGATTGCAGTGAACTGAGATTACACCACTGCACTCCAGCCTGGGCGACAGAGTGAGACTCTGTCTCAAAAAAATTTTAAAAATCAATATGCAAATGCAAATAGTTATAAAGAAATTAAGAACAAGTAAGGATAGAGTCACTTGAAGATTTCAAGTCATAATATTGTTCTGAGAGACAGTCTACACTCTTCACTAAATAATGGAAAGATCATTTGTACGTATAGTTTTAAGGAATCTTAATTTTTATTCTTTTAAAGATAGCATGCTAGCATAACAAGGTTCTGCCTTTTAACTTATTAACTGTATTTAAGATTATGTGATTAGGTTTCCTTGGGGACTGAACCATGATTAGCATATCCTTATTAAGATATCTATATACTGGTTCCAAA